ATCAATAAAGGAATACAAATCATTATCAAACAAAAATGTATCAGGTATATGATAATCCCACAAATGCAAGACAATAAACAATGAGCAATGAGATATGAAAGTGTTCAGGGAGCTGCCATATTTGTTTATGCTGCATGATGATAAGAGGCACTCCTTACAATTTTCACATTATAAACATATATGCCTTGATTTAACCCACCACCACTATGACCATTATCACTCACTGATTCACCAAAAATTGGGTAAATAGTTATCTTTCTTGTTCTTAATTCATCTTTTTAAATGTATGTAAAGCTTACATTTAATTCAATGTTTAATATTAGAAGTGTTTTGCATCTTTGATGTGGCTGTTGATCATATAAATTGGATTACTCTTGTCATACTCAACTAAAACAGAGTCAAGAGGCCAGGGAGAAAATGCACTCAGAGTATATAACATTGCTCCCAGAATGTAATTCTCCACAAATCTGGCTGCTGAAACTGCCTACTGCAACCTGAAACCAGTTTTATCTAATGACTACTGAAAGAATCCACTGCAATAAGTCCAGTTTTAACCACCACACTCACTCACCAAATCAGAACTTCTCACCTCCCAAAACTTTACTAGTGCCAATAAATTTCTCTCAAAATGATAGGTAATATTTTCCCCAATCTTCTTTGTTCTTTAGACATACTGGAGACCACTCAGTATGTGCATATGCCCCAGACTACAATTTTTGCCTCCCAAACACTGTAAGACATTAAATTTGGAGACTCGTCTCTACATTTTATTTTGACTTTGGCATGAGTTAGAAGTTTGGTGATGTTTTTGTGACCAGAAGTACGTCATAGGAATTTAACTCTTGTGTATATCAATTAGTGCACAGTAAAATTGGTTTCATAATATGCCATTTCACTTAAAGTTGTGTTTGTAACACAACTATTAGGTAACATTAAGTGAGAACTTACTGTATTTGTTGCCATAAAAACATATCTATTGATTCCAGACTTTTGATATAGTCAAATATTTCTGACAATTAGCTCATTCTAAAACTGAAAATTTACATAAACTGCATTATTAATGTAAGTGATAGCCTGAATGGATTTCTTACTTTTACATATTAAGTTTATGATAGAACTATAATCTCACAAATGTTTGATAGATTTAAATTCCATAATTGTTTTGACCTTGCATTTGTCTGAAAGCCAAACTCTTTAAAATTGACAGACTAAGAGTTCTCTCTACCACCTTGTGTTCATAGTTCTCTTATCATTGCAGAAAAAGTAGAGAAGTTTGGCAATACTGCAATCAAGAAAGAATGAAAAATGTAAGTTAATATATGATTACTAATAGAACTTTTAAAAATGAAGACAGCAGGGCATGGTGGCTCATGCCTGTAATCCCAGCACTTTACAAAGTGGAGGCAAGAGGATTGCCTGAGACCAGGGTTCGAGACCAGCCTGGGCAACATAGCAAGATCTCGTTTCTGCAATAAATTAAAAAAATTAGCCTGTGTGTTGTGGCATGCACCTGTCATTCCAGCTACTTGGAAGCCTGAAGAGGAAGGATTGCCTGGGCCCAAAAGGTAAAGGATGTGGTAGCCACAAGCGTGCCACTGAATTCCAGCCTGGGCAACAGAGTGAGATTCTGACTCTGACTCAAAAAAAACAAAGAAGAAAAAGGGATAATTGATGAGTGAAGTTACTCCATAGCACCCTGAGAATAATAAATTGGTGCTTTTAAAAATATGAATTGATAATAAAACAAATTATTCTTATTTCTCCATATGTGAATGAATTAACATGTTCACATACCACTTCCATTTAGTAGTATCAAGTAAAATCTCTTTGGGTATCTAACAGATCATTTCTTCAAATACTGCAAATTTAGGAGATGCAAATTTTTTTCAGACATAGAAATGCCCATATACAAATATAAGATTTTAAAATATAGTGACTGCCTAGTTTTCTGAAACTTGTAAAACTATTGCTTCAATCACATTTTATATCTCAAATCTACAAATATCACACCAAAAAAGTCAGACATATATTCCTATTATATCTCAAAAAAACTTTTTGATTAGATAATAATATTCATTTGGGGCTATCTTTGATCAATGTACTTTCTCTTTAAATTTATATGATTTCCTCCATAATTATAAGTGTAGACACCGGGGTCATTTTGCAAAAGACTTGAAATGTTTGCTTAATGTTTGAATTAGGACATGTACTGTAACTATGACTGTCAAGCATTAAACCAAAAACAGTTTTTACTCTTTAATTTATAAATAAAAGTAAAAACAAGAGCTATTTTATTCTAAAGATTATTAAAGTACTACTGCTAAACCATTTTTTCCTATTTTTCACATTCATAAAACCAAGAAGTGTTAGCTAAAACATATTCCTCTCTGTCTCTCCCATATACACACCCAAGTTCACACGCAACTCTTCACATACACATGTTCACATGTAGCATTATCAGTCATATATCTCAATGTCCAAGAATGGAAGGGGAATAAAAGAAAGAAAAAGATAATAAAGACTATGCTGAACCCTCTTCCCTTATTCTACACATAAGCACTAATTTATATAAGTAATGAGAGGATGAAATCATAGGAATAACAAGATAGCATTAAAACAACAGTCTTGCCATTCAAAGTGTGCTTCAAGGGCCAGTAACATCAAGTATTAATGAAAGATGCCAAACTCTGTGAAATATTTAAGATTAATTCTGAGCCAAATGTGAGTGACCTAGGCTTGTGGCACCATCCCAAGAGGTCCTAAGAACATGTGCCCAAGGTGGTTGAATTGTAGTTGGTTATATACAATTTTAGGGGACAAAAGTTACAAAAACAATAAATCAATACATGTGAGATTCACATTTGTTCAGCCAGGAAGGTAGGACATCTCTACACGAGGACCTGTAGGTCATGGATGGATTCAAAGATTTCCTGATTGGCAATTGGTACCAAGAGTTAGACTTTAAGGAATTTTGAAATCAATAAAAGTAATGCTGAGTTGAGATAAGGGATAGTTTGAGGAAATCAAATGTTTTAATATGTAAATGAAACTTTATAGATGCTATCCCTAACAGAGACTAGATGGTAAGTATCTAGCTCCTCTGGGGATCCCCAGGAAGGGGATTCTATACAGATGCAAATTTCCCCAAGAGATGGCTTTGCAGCACCATAAAATATTTTTGATTCCCTTCTTTATCTGTCATGTGACATTATGCCAGAGTCAGCTTGGAAAGTAAGTCACATTATATAGGGTTAATAAAAATTCAATTGATGAGACTGTAGGGCATGATTCTCTAGGATCTTTACTTCAGAATTTGGCAAGCGAGAAAGAAAAAGGTCAGTTTAGTCCTCACAAGCATCATCTAGGATAATGTAGAAATGCAAAATCCCAGAACTACAATTTAGCAGATCCATTCTCTAAAAAGATCTCCCAGGTGATTTCTGAGTACATTAACATTTGTGGGTTCGAGGCCTGCCTGGGCAACTTGGCGAGACCTCGTCTCTACAATAAATCAAAAAAACTAGCCGGGCGTGGTAGCACGCGCCTGTAGTTCCAGCTACCTGGAAGGCTGAGGCGGAAGGATCACCGGAGCCCAGCAGGTCGAGGCTGCGGTGGCCGGGAGTAGCCACTGCACTCCAATCTGGGCGACAGAATGAGACTCCAACTCAAAAAAAAATTTTTTTTGAGAAACACTCCTCTAGACTAGCAGTTCTCAAAGTGTGGTCAATATCTCCTGAGAAGCTGTTAGAAATACAAATTTCGGACGCCCCCCCCCCCAAACTCCCACATATCAGAAACTTTGAGAGTAGAACACAGCAGTCTCTGTGGTTGGTAAAAGGTAGCAGCTACTCTCATTATCATTACCAAACCCCCAATCATGATTGCTACTTCTGAGGGTGGTGGCACTGACAACTGATGGGTTGCAACAATAAAACCTCAAAAGAACCTTTATGAATCTAGCTTTCTAAACTTATCTGTGTCACTCTCCTAATTGCTCACTGGGTTCCCTCCACATAGCTATTTCTTACCCTAGGGACCCCAGACTTACGGTTTCCTCTCCCTAGAAGGCTCTCACCACCCGCTCTTGAACTGACTAGGCCCTTATCATTCTTTGGTTTTTGTGTTTTTGTGTTTGTTTTTTTTGAGTTGGAGTCTCACTCTGTCGCCCAGACTAGACTGCAGTGGCCGCTCCCGGCCACCGCAACCTCGCCTGCTGGGCTCCAGCGATCCTTCCACCTCAGCCTTCTGAGTAGCTGGAATTACAGGCATGCGCTACCACGCCCGGCTGATTTTTTTATTTATTGTAGAGATGAGGTCTTGCTGCCCAGGCGGGTCTCGAACCCGCGGGCTCAGGCAATTCACTCACCTCAGCCTCCCAAAGGCAAGGCGTGGGATTACAGGCTGAGCCACCAAGTCCAGCTGCCCTTATTATTCTTTAGGGCCCATCAGCAATGTCAGCTCCTTAGAGAAGCCTCTCTGACCAATGCTAAATTTGTACTCTCGTTTTTTCTGTGTCTGAACCTTGTTTTCTTCATAGAACACATCACAATTTACAATTAAGGTAGTTGTTAAGTTTACATGTTTACTATGTGTCTTTCCTACCAGACATTAAGCTCCACCATGCAGGGCCTGCCTCTGTCTTGACCACCACATTTCCCTTAGTGCCTAAAACAGCATCTGGTATATAAATCTTTAGTGAATGTCTGCTGAATAAATGACTAAACAGGAGATATAATGGAAAGCCTACCAAACTCAGATAGGTAGATAGGGCCTTACCATTGGCACAAAGGCTAATTTTTTCTATGTTCATACTGGGTGAAAGAAATGATCTTTGCCACAATGAATCAAGAAAATAGGTAAATATAAGCTGGCTATAATATTTGATCATTTTCAACATTAGAAGTTCTCTAAATACCAAAGTCTTTATCTAGGCACTTAGAATGTTGTCATATTTTAAATATGTTATGTTATCTGAAAAGCAACGCAACCAAACATAAAATAAAATGTTTAATTCCCTTTTGAATGTGTGTTGAATTCAGTACAAATCAATGGAGCATTTTTCTAGGCCAAAAGGAACTAATGTTACATTTAGAAGGCAACTGACTGCATAAAAATATAATCTACACTATATTTTTAAAAATAAATTCAAGATTTTATTCTATGGTTAAGGCGGTGTAATAATGTCTTTTTTACAGCCCAGGACACCACAATAAAGTAATGGCACAATAAAGGAACTTTTGACGTTTTTTTACTCTTTGTATTATCTTCATATCCCAGTAAAAAATAAACTCTTTAATAAATAAATATATATAATAAATATTTTCAAATTGAAAATTTATAAATAGGTCCATTATTTTTAAAAAATGTTCTGTCTTGGTGTGGTATGTGTCATAGTCCACATTTTGCCCAGGTTTTTTGGTTTTTTGTTTTTGTTTTTTTACATACAATGCCATAACTTGGGAAATTCTACAAGGTTCTCAGAATTTATGTAGCAATAATCTTGGCCAAGTATGTCAATCCATTTCTTCAACATGAAGTATCTATTTTTAATGTAACTTTTAAAGTAAACATAATCCAGAGAAGTTAGGCACCAGCAGCAAACTTGGAGGGTTCTTGTTATTTGCAGATTAACAAATTTTCAGCTTCAATCTACAGATGAGGACTGAGCCAATGTACCTAAGGGAACATAATCCACTTATAAAGAGTGATCTTGATCTACTTCAAGTCAAATTTCTTTTGTTTTTGTATCAGTAGTCGTCCCAAATCCGATATCCCAGTAGAAAGTAGATTCTGCAGTATTATGGATATCTTCTTGAGTTATTATTTTATGATGGGAACTGTGATCAGAAGGAATGGATGAAGTTTGGTTCTTCTATAAAGTCATTATCACACTTCAAGTGTACATCAGTAGATCCTTGTACAATTCTGGGACCCTTTCTGGATCCACAGGTCTGGGTAAGAAATGTGTAAATTTCTGATGTCTTTTGGACCTGGCGCCATCTCTTGGAGTTCCATCTTTGTTAAGTGCCACAAAATACCTGCGGCCAGTATCTCCATGTTTATATATGTTGGATGAATAGGTATTATACCAATTCTCTTCAAATTGCTCCCTAAAGATGCATTCAGAAGTCAGTTTCTCCTTTAAAAGAGAGAAGATAACTACCATTAAAAAAATTGCCTTTGATATACTTTCCTCACTAGTTTCAACTCTATATTTTTATTTACTTGCTGATAACTATATTATTGTCAAAGAAGGAAAAAGGTTAAATTGTTTTTGCTCTGTTTAGTTTTAGTTCAAACAGTATCTATAATTCTTCCTCATAGATGACTTTATTCAGCAGTAAAGTACAAAGAATTTTAAGTCAAATGTCAATTCCCAATTTTATTTTCAATACTTAATAAAGATTCTGAATTTTCTTAGGCTATATGCTATCCTGATCTCACCATCACCACTAAGCAGGCCCGTAGTTTATCTTGTTCCATCATTAGATGCCAAGATTCAACATATTAAGCCTTTACTATCATCTTGGAAAATCTCAAAATCTTGCTAAGATCCAAATTGTGAATTCAAGATTATTACTCCAAATCATGTACCTTCTATTTATGAATTAATTCACTGTGTTGTTATACATTCCCCTAACTTTTATCTGGATCTCCTACTATTAAGGTAAATATGGTAAAAGTTCTCTGATTTCTCATGTTTTCAAAATGGACTGTATGCTGTCCTAAAGGATATACTACATTTACTTCTTTAATTCAATGCATTATGAAGATTATATGCATGACTTTTTTCTATTATAATTCTATTGTAATTCTATTCTTATGATTATTACACACTGCATGTCATTTCTTTGTTTGTAGTGACAGAAAACCTGAAAAGAACAAGTTTCACCCTCACAAAGAACTGGTATTAGTGTATTTACTGAAATGTCATAACCAAATTTTCTCAGTGTATATTAAGATTCAAGCAGAATATGGTGATCGCAATTGAGATAATTCCATCTGCTAAATCATAAAATTTAAATTTTCTATGGAAATAGTTACAAAATATTCAAATTTAAGGAGGGATTTCATATGAGAAGAATGGAGACTGGCACACACTTGCACCTTACCAATTATTTAAAAGTATATAGGCAACGGTGAACAAATGAAAAATGTTAGCAGGCTGGGCACGGTCGCTCAGCCTGTAACCGCAGCATGTTGGGAGGCCAAGGCGAGGGGATTGTCTGAGTCCAGGAGTTTGAGACCAGCCTGGGCAACTTGGTGAGACCTCGTCTCTAAAATAAATCACAAAAAAACTAGCCAGGCATAGTGTCATGTGTCTGTAGTTCCACCTACTTGGAAGGTTGAGACGGAAGGCTCACCTAAGCCCAGCAGGTTGAGGCTGCAGTAGCCGTGAGCATGCCACAGCACTCCAGCCTGGGTGACAAGAGTGAGACTTCAACTCAAAAAAAAAAAAGAAAGAAAGAAAGAAAGAAAGAAAGAAAAATTTTAGCAGTGAAAGAAAAAAATCTATATTACATAGCAGAGTGAGTTTTATATTGTCTTATTACTCTAATTCTTGTGTTGTTCTGCATCTTTGTTCTTAAAAAAAAATTATACCGATGAAATATTAACCTGAAAAGTATACTTTAAACTTCTTACTCAAACATTTATTGTAGACTCACAAATGTTCACTTTTACTTAGTGGCAAGTTAAAAATTGCCCAATACAACTTTGAGTGGGCCCAAGGCTACTATAATTATCAAGACTACAGGCATGGTAGAACTAGTGTAGTTGTCATTGTCTGTTGTTGCTGGAAGTATCCTAAGATTTCATTCACTCATTTCCTACATGCAAAGGTCAGCAAGTAAGTGATATTTCATATTAGCTATGGGAGATGATAATGGGTAGAGAAAATTTACATTAAATAAGTGTAAAGGTCAAAGGCTCTAACACTGCATGAAAAAAAAAATTCACCCATTTTTCTGTCTCTAGTAGGAATGACCAAAATATGGAGGAAACTAGAAAGATACCGGATAATAAGTAGGAAGAGCTGGAGGCAAGAAAAAAAAATACTCAAGTTACAATAATGCCCAGACACATGGAAATTTAGTAAGATATAGATTTCTAATTTCTACATAAGTATTTTCTTTAAGAAAATTTTTTTATTATAAAGATATGGGGTACAATTCAGGGTTATACAAATGTTGATTATGCAGGTACCCTTGTTGACAAGGTACAGCCCTCCCTTCCCTAGCAGTTTCCCTCAATTGCCAATCCCACTACAGCTCCCCTGACAGTTTCCCACTACCGCCAATCCCTTTCTTATAGTATTATAATTGCTCAAGTTCCACTTATGATTGAGAATATATGGTGCTCTGTTCTTTGTTTCTGTAATAGATCACTGAGTATGGTCAACCCTAATTTCTACATAAGTATTTTCTATATACTTCTTCCGACAGACATTATTAGTAGGCATTTTAACTACAAAATTGATAGTTATAATTTCAAGAGTTAAAATACTATAAAAAAATAATAATACATACTGATCCATAGAGTTCTCCTTTGTCATTCATTCCGAGGTAAAGACCACTGTCCACACCTCTAATACTGACCAGTCCCACAGCCACACTGATGAATTCCAGGATACCTGAAATCATAAACAAATTTATAAAAATATAATGATTTTTATGTATCAATAAACATATGACTAGTGAAAATCTTCCAAATAGTATAGTATTAATAGACCAATATTGCTAAATATAATGATTATGTGAAAGTCACTTATAAACTGAAAAATGCTATGCAATTGCTTTATTACTCCCATTTTACAGATGAAAAAAGACGAAAAAGAAAAAAAATTGTTCATTGTGGTGTAATGCTAAAGCTGCAAAACTTCAAGCCAGACTGACCTGGGTTTAAATTCTAGTTGGGTAACTTGCTAACTAGGCTGAGTAGGAAAATCATTTGTCTTCTTTGAACTTCAATTTCCTCATATGCAAAATGAATGAGACGTCTTTTACAGAAGAGTGATGAGGATTGACACATTTAGTCATTCAACAAATGAAAACTTTTATTATCATAAATTAGTATATAATAGAGGTGTTCTTAGTTCTCCCTGATTCTGTTCATCACAACCATTTTCTATTAATTGTTTTGCTTTTGTTTACAATAGGTTTAAAGGTATCTTATAGTTTATAAAGGACTCTACTTATATTTTTTCATCTGGTTCTAAAAAACAACTCCTTAAGATAGGTAGGGGAGATATTTATTATCCCGATTTTACATATAAAGAAAGTCTTACTGATGTGCCTAATGGACATGACATTTGTAATTGATAGGTCTGATACCTGAACTTGCATTCAGATCTCTAATCCAATGTTTCTACCTCAGAACACTGTTTCTTGAGGACAATACAGCAATTTCAAGACTTCATATGATATGCTATGTCTTCTGTTACATAACGTTTTTGTTTGTTTTGTTTTGTTTTTGAATTGGAGTCTTACTCTGTTGCCCAGACTGGAG